TAAAGGTTTTACAGAAAAAAAAACTGTACTCCCCCTTTCTGGACAGTCGACGCGTACCTGATAAAGTTTTGCCAAGCTATATCTCTGACGATTGTAAGGCCGTCATCCTCAAAAGAAGATGAACAATGATAACACGCGTACTTAAAATTGGTCACAATAGTTAAAGGGAAAATCACTCACGTGGGAACAAAGGAAAAACTGATTGTTCATACTTACTAAAAGCACGTCATTCCTACCTCAGAGATAGAACACTCGGCGCAAAATTAGGAGATCGGGCTTTAGAGGTCAACTAAAAGTCAGGAACCAAAAGACCACCGAGACTACAAACACCCTCCATCGAAAGACGTAAAATATATATATTATACTACTCGTGCTAAGCGAGTAGGCATATTTTATTGATATTTAGACTCCACTAATTTCTGGCTCTTCGCTTGCAAGCAAGCAGTCTTTTTCTTTCTATCCATGCATTTTTATCCACCTTGTTACCAATAGGCAGCTCAAAGGCATTCGTCCATCTTTCCCTCAATAAACTGATACTGATACTTCTGAGCCCGCAGCAACTATACGTTGGATTCGTAACCAAAAAGGATATTAATCAAAGACAAAACAAAAGCAAAAAAGGCAACTTACTATCTGAGGGGACAGAAAATCCGTTTTAAGAAGGGTACCGGTGTCGAGGGTGTATCGTGCGTTACCGGTCACAACGTCCTGCGGTCCGGTATTCAGTTGTTGTAAAAGGGCGCGGTAAAGGAAGAACAGTTGCCCACCAATCTGCTCCTGAAAACACACACACACAGCGACAAAAATCACAATTGTAATTTCATATTTTCGAATTGGGACGTGCAAGGCAAATATGCGGTAAGGTGACATTACCTTGATAAAATTGAAGAGAAGGAAAGTGAGCCAATTGGAGAGCATTTTGGCCACGACCGATTCCGAACGTCGAAAAGCGGTGAGAAGTCGACTGTCACCACCGTAGGAGTGACACCGTTGAAGCAGATCCGAGATGAGGATGAAGATTATGCTGTAGAGTC